TAAGAGCGTGCAGGTATTTCATTACGTAGTAAATGTCTACTCATTTCTATTCCCCCCAAATATGCATATATTCACGACGGTGTTTGGAGAATTAAGTTCATGTCTGATGTTTAGTTAATAGTACGTGACAGGGCACTAACTTATTCTGATACCTTTGGGGAAATTTTGGCTGCAGTTGAGTAAAATTTGTTAATTGTGCTTTCACATCCCCTCCTTACTTAAAATATAACGAAATGGGGACAAGCACCCTTTTCCCTTGGTGTGATTAAAAATAAAATTGTGCTAGGAACATCTGTTTTAAAAAGGGATTTCTATTTGTTTTATCACCAAAAGGTGGCGTCCTACCCCCATGCCCTTTATTTAAAAACCCTTTGCTTTAATTTAACAAAAAGAAACTTCTGGTTGATTACTGATAAAGAAATTAAAATCTCCTACGAATGTAACGTGACAGTGTTGAAAATGAACAATATGTTAAGCTGCAGTTAGGGTTCCCTTTAATGTAAACCAAATGGACGTGGGATTCTTTAATACGGCAGCACATTAGCCTCATATACAAAACTGAGTACAATATGTCATGAGATTTACAACCAGCGTTTCCTTTTGTCTACAGAACTTGTGGCCAATCTGACTTTGGTCCCCACTTGCAAGTGAATGTAGAATTTAAGGCAGATAAAATGCAGAATTAACATCAGCAGCAATCTAAAGAATCTTTTTCGTATGGCAGTAATAGTTAATTTTCTTAAAAAAAAACCCATACGACTCAATTTGAAAAATAAGATCAGATTAAGAATATATTTTTCACAATAAGAAATTATTATTCCCCTGGGTTATAATTCTACATCCAGGCATATACCATTGCCGTGTTATATTTGACATAAATATTTAAGAATTAAAAACAACTCTCCCCAACCCCAAGTGGCAACGTTGTAGATTTCCATATAATTCCATGTGCGTTCAGCATGTGGAATTTCTGCTGAGAGTATTAACTAAGTTGACAGACAGCTTTTAGGTCAGTGCCTAGGTCAGAATATGCATTGGGTAAACATTAGCTGTTATTACTGACAGCTGTAGACCAAGCTCTTCAGGGGCATGGATTGTCTTTATTGGGTCGTCGGAAAAGTCGTGACATGTTTTTCTGTTTAGGCAAAAAATGCGTCACGACTTTTCTGACGACCCAGTAATTTTTTTTTGCCTCCCTCAGTGTCCACTAGATGGTCTAGAACATAGTAGGTGTATCATTAATGTCTTCATGTCTTGACAAAGACAACATGAACCCTAGGCTCTAGAAGCTAAGAAATTCTACAAGAACTAAAATGCATTTTTAAAAATTTTCACCCAGTTGAAAAGATCCGAGGGGTGGTCTTGTCTGGATAACGTGGAACTGTGCACAGCATACATCCAATATTCTACTACGGTCGCTCAGCATCGCTCCCTTCCCCTGGCTTTATTCTGTAGCTCTGGTGAATGACTCTCTTCTTCTTCTTTTTTTTTTTTTTACTTGCCAAACAGATACAATTTTAAATCAGTAGTCTCATACTATCACTGAAAGTGAGATTTCAATTCTTTTGTAAACGAATGTTTAACAATATTTGTGAGAAGACATTATGCGAGAGAATCGATAATAACCTTTTCAGGATATTTATTATCTACAACTGTACTGGTCTTTAAGACCACCTGCCAGTGGAAGTACTCTGTAGGAACCCACAGGGGTGGCCTGGTACACCATCTAGCCAGTAGCTGCGAATGCTGGCTTACGCGAGTTTGGCAGCATCTGGGATGGTGGGTAAGAAAAGAATGACTTTCTTTAGCAACATCAACAACCACCAAAACCCTTAGAGGTCCTGGATCTTTCTAAGTCACATTTTGGAAACACAAAATCTACTTCCCTCTCTCCTTGTGAGATAAAAAGTGAAAGAAATACTAGTGTCTTTTGTTTTACATAGGTCCATCTGTATTTCAAAACATTTCATTCAGGCCCCTAATTAGCCCCAACATATTTCTAAACTCATTCAAACTTCAAAATAGTAAAAAGGAAAAAAAAAAATCTCACCTTTTCAAAGAACTGGACAAAGCGTTTTGCATGTGACTGATCTCTGGGTGAGCAGGTAATTTGTGTTAAACAACCAATTGACATGCTAGTCCCCGGGGCGTTTTTTTCCTAAGAGGAGCCAAGGCAAAGACGTAATTCCTGAGGCAGCCACTTTCCCCCAAAGTGGACCTAACTACACATTCCTGCAGTGACTCTGACAAGGAAGGGGGAAAGCTCTTCCCACACTGCACTCTCTCCTGATCCCGCGATTCAGGGGAAAAAAGCCCTGGCTGGCGGGGTTTCTGCTTCCTTGCAAACAGGGGTTTGTCCTTCTGTTGAACTTTCACCTCCCGAACTCGCCTTTTTTCATTGGACAAAGTGTAGAAAGAGAGAGGAGAGACTGAGGGAGGACGAGAGGGAAGGAGAAAGGGGGTTGCACACACCCTCCCCCCCTCCGTCTTTCTCAACTGTCACTGATGGCAAAACACTTTCACTTTTAACTGGAGGAAACTCGCATCCTCGCCTATCCTCTCCCCTTCCTTCTGTATTTTTAGCTCAGGAACCAAGCAAATAGCCATCGCATTTCCATCTTCGCCCCTAGCTGTTCCCAAGCTCCCTCTCTTTTTCTTTTACTGGTGTCTGCCTATCCTCCCCCCTCCCCCCATCTTAAGAGGAATCACTCCGGCCCCCATGCCCCTTATTTTCCAGGTCTTTTCTGCCGGATTCCTCTTTTGCCAGGGACTGCCCTGGCGTTCTCTTCCTCTCTCTGGTCTGCGGGGCTCTGCCTGCTCTCCTCTTTCCTGTCCAGCCTGGACGCCCCTCACATCTCCCCCTCCCCCGACTCCCCTATTCCAGCCCATGCCTCCCCCCGTTGGGTATTTTTTTTTTTTTTTTTTTTTTTTTTTTTGCTGCGAGCCCTGTTGTTTACCCAGCAGGTGGATGTGACGTCAGGGACGCACAACAGCAAAAAATAACAACATCTCCCTCCGCGATGTGTTGGCCTCTCTTGCGCGCCTTATTTATTTATTTGTTCCGGGATGCCGAGGGGGAGGGGGTGGGCGCCAGCGCCCCAGTGGCCCTGCAGGCCCCGAGCAGTTCCTGCTCCGGGGGTGCTGGAGGGTCTGGCGGGGGGAATGCGTGAGGCGGACAGGGAGTCCTGCAGGGGGCGGTGAGGCTGCCTGGGGGGCGCCCCGGGCCCGGTGCTGTCCGCGCCTCTGGCGCCACCGGC